TGTGTGTATATATATATATATATATATATATATATATATATACACACACACATACACAATAATATTATGCATTATATAATTTGATTCAATAATTTAACACATTTCTTTTGCTATGTAGGCTGATGATAACCAAGATGGTAAATTAACATTGGATGAAATACTCAATCATGAAAGTATTTTCTACAGTACCATCTATGACAATGGTAGAAATGAAGATCTTTCCCACGACGAACTTTAAATTGTGGTATGTCACTCAATATGCCATGGGATCAATGATGTTTTGTACGTAGCACATTCATAGGTTGATCCAACATAGACGAAACAAAACCCAAGATAGGGCTCTTCTTTTCCTTTCATCTCTTTGGCTTTCTATTCCTTGTCATAATTAATAATCATCCACAAGAACCTCTTTGCATTTTGATTTTGACTAACACTCCATTCTCTTGTATCTAAATGATACTACTTTTCCATCTCTTTCTTTTCTTACTTATTGTGTTGCATTATATATATAAATTCTACATAATAGACCTAGAAATTTAATTTGATAATTTTCTTATTTGAGTTACTTTGTGCATCTAAAACTCATATATGCAATTGTTATAAAATTATCTAATCAGCCAACGAGAATTTAGAAATATTTAACTTAACTGTTCAATTAACCTGATCATCATCATCAGAAAAATCCTTATTCTATAGATAACATGCATCAATATTAATATCTATATCACTCTCGTTTATACTTCTCGCCAATCACCAATATTGATGACAACATTTTGTGGAATATTCAAGCGTGAAAAGCTTCATTCCAATCTTTAATTCATCTAATAATTTAGAGTTCTAACGTTTGTATTTTTAGCGAGTGCAACTTCAGTGTTGTGGCTGAGGTGAGGAGATCAATTTAATTCACAGAGGCAATTTATTTCAACTCGATCAAATCAATGAGTGAGTAAGCTGATCATAGTTCAAAAAGCACTCAAAGGAAGTTAGTAGCGCTGCCGTTCGTTGATTATAATTTTTTTTTGTTACTACTACTTTACCCATTAGCAGTAGCTAATAGTGATATATTGAGGCTTGTACATGCTATTTTTTTGTGTGTGTGTGTATGTAATACATTTTACATGTACCTCGATGAATTATAAGAATACATGAGTTAGAATCTTCTCTACCTCATTTTCTTGGGTTAATTTTACACATAGTGAGTAAACTTTAATTTATTTATTGTATTAATAAAGTTACAATTTTATCTTATAGTTATTCAACCATGTGTGTGTTAATATCTCAATTCACGAAAAAGTCAAACTTCGGGCGCCGAAAAATTAAATCTTTATATACGGTCGAAATCGAGCTCGCCTACGACATGGCAGGATAGGATCGGAACGTGACAACCAAAGACTAAATATCGACCCCGAGTCCCATCGATCTAGAACCCGGGGTCAGAATGCCTGCCTTCGAGAACATTGAGTCCGTAATCCCGGAGTCGACCTTAGCTCCGATCGAGCTCGAAGAAACATTATTAGCATAACCAGCACGGAAATCGAAATATCCGTAACCGGTCGGATATTACGACGGGAATCTCCGCGCGTAACAGTAAGGAATTGGCAATCAACTAATCTATGGATTTTTACCTTTTATAGAATTTTACCTAAAGTAGGACTCCTCTACTATATAAGGGGAGTCTGTAATTCATTGGACACATTGTAACACACATTCTAAAGCAATACATTATTATTCTCTTTAAGTTCTTATTCCCCTGTCTTGATATCTATCGAAATACGTTCGGCTCGAGGGTGGCTAACCTTTCAAGGCTGAAACTGTTCAATTCGAGTGGTTTGCATTTACTTTATCATTATTTATTTCAATTGCGATCTAATTTATCATTTTGTATCAAGTTAGTCCACGTATTCTTAAAACCACTTATAAATTTAATTGTTATCCGATTTTGAGGGTAAACAGTTTGGCGCCCGCCGTGGGGCTAAGGATAATAGTGGTTATTTGATACAAATCTCCTTAACACACACTACTTTACACTTGTTCTTTGAAGTGTCTCTAATTTCATGTTAAAACTCAAAATGTCGAACTCTCAATCAGCACCCCTATATGTTGACAACGAGTCTGGTTATCACAGTGAAAATAACAACATAGTGTCCGGTGACGAGATACCTCCCGTTGATCCCATCGGAATTCCGGTTGTAGACCCAATTGACGCTAATTCGCATGTAGATATCGACACAGACCTACCTACCGACCCCGAGAATGGCGTTCGCGGTGGAGCCCGATCGGCGGCTCAAAATACACAAAATATTGGCGAAGACGGGATCAGTCTAAGGGTGATCTTCGAATTGTTGCAGGCACAACAAGCGGCGATAGCTCAGTTACAGAATCAACGTCGCGCACCGAGCAGAGTTGAACCTGATCCACCCCGGGAAGCTACCCGCAGGGATGAACCGGTCGTAGAGAGGTCAAATGAAAATGAATCTGGGGCTAACTCCGAGATCATAAAGATGCTTGAGGAACTGACAAAACGAGTAGAATCAGGGGAGAAGAAAATCAAAGCTAATGACAAAAAGATGGAAACCTACAATTCCAGGATAGACCAAATCCCAAGTGCGCCACCGATATTGAAAGGCCTGAATTCCAAGAAGTTCGTGCAAAAACCTTTTCCTCCGAGTGCGGCTCTGAAGCCAATCCCTAAGAAATTTCGCATGCCCGAGATTCCTAAGTATAATGGAACGACCGACCCAAATGAGCATGTAACCTCATACACATGTGCCATCAAAGGGAATGACTTGGAGGATGATGAGATCGAGTCTGTCTTATTGAAGAAGTTCGGAGAGACCTTACCAAATGGGGCTATGATATGGTATCACAACTTACCTCCTAATTCTATTGACTCATTTTCTATGCTTGCAGATTCTTTCATGAAAGCACACGCCTAGACTATCAAGGTCGATACCAAGAAGTCTAACCTTTTTAAAGTAAAACAGAAGAATAACGAGATGCTCAGAGAGTTCGTGTCCCGGTTTCAAATGGAACGAATGGACCTGCCAGCGGTCGCTGATGATTGGGACGTTTAGGCTTTCACACAAGGACTCAATATTCAGAGCTCATTGGCTTCACAACAGTTGAAACAGAACCTGGTGGAATATCCAGCTGTCACTTGGGTCGATGTACATAACCGATATCAATTGAAAACCAGGGTCAATTGGGGCCCCTTCAGGGTCAATATATCCCGTCAGGACCATCGACAGAGTCAAGAGAGACATCGATCGTAAACCGAGATCAAAAAGAGATCGGTATATGTTGTATAATGGAGACCGAAGAAATAGCGGGTCCGGGAGGAACTCTATGATAATTGAAAGGAGAAGTGACCGAGGTCAGAGCAACCGGGGACTCATGAGCAAAAATAACTTCGGTAGGCCCATCGGGCCTAAAGAAGCAACGAGGTTATTGGAATACAACTTTAACGTCGACTCTGCCACCATTGTATCAGCTATCGGACGCATCAAAGATACCAAATGGCCTCGACCTCTATAATCCGATCCAACCCAAAGGGATCCTAACCAGATATGTAAATATCATGCCACTCACGATCACAGAACGGAGGATTGCCGATAGTTGAGAGGGAAAGTAGCCCGACTATTCAACAACGGTCATCTTCGAGAATTCCTAAGCGATCGAGCCAAGAGTCATTTCAGGAATAGGGATTCTAACAAGCAGATAAAACAAGAAGAACCTTAACACGTCATTAACATGATCATTGGCGGGGTCGATGTCCCTCAGGGGACGATGTTGAAGCGTACCAAAGTATCCATCACGAGGGAAAAATGGACTCGAGATTACATACCAGAAGGAACCTTGTCTTTCAACGACGAGGACGCGGAAGGGATCATGCAGCCCCACAATGATGCACTGGTAATATCTATACTCGTAAATAAATTTCGAGTTAAGCATCTGTTAATTGATCCAGGTATCTCGGCCAACATCATCCGATCGAAGGTCGTGGAGTAGCTCGGTCTACAAGATCAAATTGTGTCTGCAGTCCGAGTTCTAAAGGGACTCAACATGGCATGTGAAACTACTAAGGGTGAGATAACATTATCGGTGAATACCGCTGGGACCATCCAGGAAGCTAAGTTTTATGTAATCGAAGGAGACATGAGGTACAACACTTTATTCGGGAGGCCATGGATCCACAACATGAGGGCAATACCCTCGACTCTTCACCAAGTGTTAAAATTCCCAACACAGGTGGGATTAAAATAATCTACGGAGAGTAGCCAGTCGCAAAGGAGATATTTGCGGTCGAAGAGGCAATTTCGATATCCCCACTTGCAACGACATAGGGGCCGAGTTCAGTCACAAAGCCAGAAACTAAATAGTAATTACTGACACCAACTCCGACCCAATCGGAGAAACAAGGGACTGATGAAGACGATGATTACGGGGTACCCAGGTCTTTTATAGCCCCCGATGATTCTGACGCCACTAAATCGACGATCGAGGAGCTGGAACAGGTCATATTGGTCGAGCATCTACCCAATAGAAAGGTATACCTGGGCACGGGGTTAAGTCCCGAGCTCAGAAAAAAACTCATTCAATTTCTTATAGCTAATGACGATTGTTTCGCTTGGTCCCACCTTGATATGACAGGGATCCCGCCGGAGATAACCACTCACAAACTAAGCCTGGATCCAAAGTTCCATCCGGTCAAACAGAAGAGGAGACCCTAGTTCGAGGTCAAACATGCTTTTATCAAAGACGAGATATCTGAACTCCTTAAAATAGGGTCTATTCGGGAGGTTAAATACCCAGATTGATTAGCAAATATAGTAGTAGTCCCTAAAAAAGGGAACAAATTAAGAATGTGTGTAGACTATAAGGATTTGAATAAGGCATTTCCCAAGGACTCTTTCCCTTTGCCCAACATCGATCGCATGATCGACGCCACGGTCGACCACGAGATCCTTAGTTTTCTCGGCCTACTCTGGGTATAACCAAATATGGATGAACTCGAGTGATCAGGAAAAAACCTCCTTCATCACTAAATATGAAACCTACTGTTATAACGTGATGCCATTCGGGTTAAAAAATGCCGGTGCCACTTACCAACGCCTAGTAAATCGGATATTAGAGGAACAAATAGGAAAATCAATGGAGGTTTATATTGACGATATGTTGGTTAAGTCCCTACTAGTAGAGGACCATTTAAAACATTTGCAGGAAACCTTCAGCATATTGAAGAAATACAATATGAAGCTAAACTCGGAGAAATGTGCGTTTGGAGTTGGGTCAGGTAAATTCCTCGGATTCATGGTATCCAACTGGGGAATTGAGATCAACCACGACAATATCAAAGCCATTGAAGATATCACGATTGTGGACAATGTGAAGGTCGTGCAAAGATTAACCAGGCGCATTGCTACCCTGGGGTGATTCATATCGAGGTCCTCCGACAAGAGCCATCGGTTCTTCACACTATTGAAGAAGAATAATAACTTCTCATGGACCCCGGAGTGCCAACGGGACTTGGAGGAACTCAAGCGGTATCTATCGAGCCCACCGTTGCTTCACACACCGAAGACAGATGAACAACTATACTTGTACTTGGCAATATCGGATATAGCAGTAAGTGGAGTCCTGGTCCGGGAAGAGCAAGGTACGTAATTTCCAATTTACTATGTTAGCAGGATCCTAGGTGATGCCAAACTAGGCACCCTCACCTAGAAAAGCTGGCGCTCGCTTTACTAAGCGCCTCTAGAAAGCTAAAACCATACTTCCAGTGTTACCCCATATGTGTCGTAACTATTTACCCATTGAGGAATGTCATGCATAAGCCCGAACTCTCGGGCCGGTTGGCCAAATGGGCCGTGGAAATCAATGGGTATGATATTGAATATCAACCCCAGACCGCCATTAAATCCCAATTTTTGGTAGACTTTGTGACCGACTTTACGCCGGCCCTAATACACGAGGTTGAAAGAGGGTTATTAATCAACTCAGGAACCTCCTCGGGGATCTGGACCCTCTCTACGGACGGCGCCTCAAACGCAAAAGGATCCGGACGTGGCATCGTATTGAAGCCACCAATAGGAAATGTAGTTAGACAATCTATTAGGATTGTGAAATTGACTAACAACGAGGCCGAATATGAGGCCATGATTGCAGGTCTC